TAAATGAACACACGTCTAACGCTAATTGCCAATAATTATAAAAAAATATTAACGTTAAAAAAAAACCAATATTAAAAAAAATTTTTTCAAACAAAGTAATTAAGTAAAAAAGAAACAAAATTTGTAACATCCTATACGACTACAACTGACTGATTCATACATTCAGAGACTTTCATTTGCTGCCACAGCGTCGCATTACAAGCAACTCCTTCTAACAGTATGTTTTGTCTCGTTTAAATTCATTCAACCCATTCATATGCTTTGTGACCTTTACAAATGAACTTTACGGTGTTCTAAAATTCTTTGTTTTGGAAAATTAAATAACTCTGTAAATATTTAAAGAATGTAAATGTTTAATACAATTTTAAAAAGTTATCTTCTCTATGCGTGTTCATTTTTTGTCGCGATGGTAAAGACACGCTGTATACATATTTGTTGATATATATTTTGTTTCATCATTGACTTTGCAGTAAGGAATTGATAAAAAATATTATAAACAAGAACTCGTTATAATAAACAATAGCCATCAAATATATAATATGATGTATTAAAATGCGTCAACTAAAGTAACATGCGTTATGGTATTTTTGATATATATATAGGTGTAATATACGCGGTGGTGTATATGCTATAAGCATATATTATGTAAGTGTAAATAATGTAAATAATGTGTTCATCAATGGCGTATTATACCCGTTCAATATATAACGTTCTTTACAGAAAAGTTATTGACCAGCATATTGAAATTTATCTATAATCTATCAAATGTTTGTTTCCTTTTATTTCCAATATTAGCACAATGAGGAGCTAGCACAATATATAGTGGATCATAAGGGACGGCCGTTGATCTTTTGACATGTCCAGGTCATCACCAAACATGGCTCGTAAATCTAATCTAGTTACGGTTGAAAATCATAATAACTGGTCCATCCAAACGCTGCCCTTTACGATCTTGTCTACTGCGACTAATATTCGCCGCGAGTAACACTTCGACCGCATAATCATGTAAAGCTGTTAATTTAGTTATAAAAGATAACGTTGATTCAATTGCATTCGCCATATAATTGGTCACCTACATTTATTTTATCGTAAGTTAATATTGCCTGAACGCTGATAGAATTCAATAACAATTAGAGCAAATTGATCAATGGTGATTAAAAATAATTGAAATATTCTTTAGAGTTTACTCTCGTAGAATTATCAAAAATAATAAATATAGAATACTTTAATGCCTCTTTATCTTTTATACAATTTTCCTTTCATTTTTATTTGTGTATTAGCTACAATAAGTTATGGAACTTAAACCGTCTGTTGAATGAGGTAGCCGGGGCCCACTTTATTTAAAGGTGGCAACCATTTGCAACACTACGGGTGTTCCAAATGTCTATGGGCGGCGGTTATTACTTAACATCAGGTAAGCCGCCAGCTCGTGTGCCACTATTTCACACAAAAAAATATTTTTTATGAATGCTCAACAATTTTAGTGTTTGGTTTTTTAGTCCAAAAATTTTGCTAATAATAGTTTTTTATCACTTAAATTTATCTAAATAAAATTTTGCTACGATATGTAAGAAACCACATAACTTTTTTTTATATAGACTAGTGGACACCTATATTGGTAGAAAACGATTATATTTAATCAATTACATAATTATTATGTTTCTCAGATTCAATCAGATATTTTAAAATCCTTTGGCTACATACAATCTTCACACGCAACTGTGTGACGTAGGGCTATTATTAAAATTTTTATCGTAGACACGTTACACTTAGACGACACTAAAATGTGTAGATAGTCGCAAATTTTTAAATAAAAAAAAGTTAAATAAAAAAATACATTTTAAGTTACAAAGTAAATAAGTACTAAAGTAAATAAATAATGTTTTATTTTATTTTATGTACTTGTAACCATATGACATATATAATTCACAGGATATAATTTTTAGAATTCTTCACTTCTTTTTTAAATTTATTTGTATAAAACTTAACTATGCAAAATCTAACACTTCTCTGTGTGCGCAATTTTTATGAAAAAGGGATCCAAAGTATTAGTTTAGTGTTCGATCGTTTAATCTACAGATTTCGTATTTAGATCATCAGTTATTATTTCAATATATTTATAATGTTATTTATAATAATATTTATGTTAATAATATTATTCAAAATAATATTTTTTCTTTCCAAAAGACGCTGCTTTACCACTTTCCTACCCTAATGGCTCAACCATGTTTTTCTGTTCTTTTTTAATCGTCCCCTTAAATTTTGACAGCTTTGGAATTTAGCTGAAATTAAAACTAAGCAGAAAACTAAATCCACTCTGTTTTCAACCGACTGTAAAAAAAATAGGATGTTCTCAATTCGACAGTATTTTATTTGTGCTTTTATTGTGTTTGTTATCTCAGAACTTTCGACTGATCGAACCGATTTTGATGATTCTTCTTTTATTTGAAAGCTGGTGCTCCCCATGCGGACCTTTATATATATTTTAAATGATATTGGATCTAGGGCTTCGGAGATATGTAGAGAACTCCAAAAAATTAATTATAAAATGAATACAGAGCGAGATAATTGAAGTCGTTTTTCTTTTTTGTTAATAAAAAGATTGACTTGTTAAAGTAGCATAACGAACATTCCTAAATGAAAGAATATTTTCATAATAATATTACAGGTGCTTTTCAGCTAAGAGTTTGAAACCTTTATATTTTTAATTGGGACAGCTCAAATATTTATATTGACGGTATCTTGCTATACTTGAAATTCGTATTCATTAAAGAATTCCAGATTTATGAAATGAAATTATGAAATCAGATACTACTCGTTAATTTTATATCTTTTTTTATGTTCTATTGATATACCTTCATCAACCTAGATTCGGCCTTATCTACTAAATTATAAAATATTTCTAAATCATTGATGTTATGAAATTGAATTTAATAATTAACATACAAACACAAAATTTCATAGAGAAATTTATTTTAATAACGTTTTGAAGTTGCTATGTTGTGTGTATATGTGTATCTTATGTGTTACTAGCGACCCACCCCGGCTTCGCACGGGTGCAATGCTGAATGTTTGTTTTCGACATCATTAAAAACTTCTAAAATTATCAGTATTTCTCTACTTTATTATGCATGAGTTGTTATTATACATGTAAACCTTCCTCTTGAAACACTCTATCTATTAAAGAAAACCGCATCAAAATCTGTTTCGTAATTTTCAAGATCTAAGTATATATAGAAACAGACAGACAGCGCGACAACTTTTTTTATACTATGTAGTGATGAACCTTTCAAACGCCTGTAAAACTTTCAGTTACGACAACATTTTAACCATCGTCTCAAACATTTTTATTTCTGATGACGTGCACGCTTGGTTTTCTGCCTATTTTGGAAGGCGTTAAAAGTCAGTTGATGTCGGTGAATTGCCATCAAGCTGCCTTAACTATTGCAACTGATGTCTTCCAATGCAGTATTTCCTCCCTTATTATACTCTATATTTCCATAAATATTATCACACTTGATCTTCGGTGTGCGTATCATCTCTATCCATGTGAGAAGCTACCAGAAGAGATCCATGACATAAACCAAGATTTAGATAGACTTAAACGATTATATGATAGGTTCAGATTGATTGTAAACCCAGCATAGTGCCAGACTATAATTAAATTCTACAGCAAATGGCATACAGCAAATACATAATCTAAACATAAAGACTTATATTTTCGCCATTTACTTACTTCAGCTGCCTCTGATGCCGCCCCGGCCCTGACCGAAGTACCCCTTAGATGAGAGGCAGCCAAAGCGTCTACACAAGTGGCGTGTGTGTAGTGCTTGTATTTGATTATTTAGAAAGAAGTAATTTATTAATTATGATATCAGGTGGTTACTGCAACTATTTTTGTAACAAGCGTTGTTTTAAAATTAATTGCTTCAGAACCTGAAAGAACTGTTACATAACTTAGAAACGCGCAAGCGCCTAGATGAACGTAAAATAATCTTTTGTACAAACACGAATACTCAAATATTTTATAAAAACATTGCATTTATTATTTATTATAATAATAAAAAAAATATATTTACTCTCATTATCAATTTCATAGTCAATGGAAATTCTAAATGGTTTAAATCATCCAACACAACTTTTAAGCTAAAAATGTCATCATACCAGTCTGCTTTCTCGTTAACGTTTTCCTATTTGCATTTAATATTTTTCAAACTTCAACGTCTCAGAGAACATGACGAACAAAAAAAATAAAGCGATATTTAATTGTTAGCTAGAGGTCGAGCAGCATAGAACTTCGCCCAAGGCTCTTAGGTGCGAGTCGACGACCCGCCGTCACCTTGCCTCGCGCCAACTTACGCAATTCGATAATCTTATCATCTGCATGCACTCCCGCGCGACCTCGATAGCCCCTCTCACCCCTCGCCGAATTTGATGCCAGCATGAATTGAGATCAATAAGCATTCTTGTACGTACTGTTGGGAGGTCATCATCAAAGTCAAGAGCTTAACAATGCACTGATCGCATAATGAAGTCATGCTCGGAATTCAATATGCCAGGAGTTATAACGAAATCGCCTGAATGCTTTTCGGAATGCGATGTGTCGCGTGTATCGATAAGTATACATATTTCATTCTCTTCTGGAATACATTTTCTACAGCTTTTGCACCATTCACCGGGAGGCTGAAATTAAAAATTGCCTACGACAGCAGCGCTACGCGGTTCGTAGCAAGCCGGCGGGCAACGGAAAAGCGGCGGAGAGAGGAGCGCCGGTGGGACGAACCTGCGCGCGCGCTACCCCGCGCGTATTTATTCGCAAGGCCACACCAGCGGCGCGCCAGTGCGCAAGCGTCGGTCGCACGCGATATACGATTGAAGCGTTTACATCAGTAGTCCGACTCTCGCGATTTACGCTCCGCGCACTAATGTTACGTTCAGCTCAATAATAGGTGCAGATTTGTTTCGCGTTCTAATATTAACGTTAAAAAAATTAGACAATCATGTTATCGATATTGACAAACTCTAAACTGTTGTGGGGGCTGTGGCAACTTGTGAGCTACTGTAGTTCGCGAACGACGCTACCTCTGGTGTTGGCAACGGGCGTTGTGTTCCTGGCAACACGGCTGATGGCTGTGCTCCGAGAGATGCGCAAACTACCCCCGGGGCCCTGGGGTCCTCCGGTCGTCGGCTATCTACCCTTCCTCGGTATCCGCCACAAAACCTTCTTGGAGCTCGCGCGAAGCTACGGCGCTCTGTTCTCCGCCCGCCTCGGGAATCAGTTGACGGTCGTCCTTAGCGACTACAAACTCATTAGGGAGGCTTTCCGCCGTGAAGAATTCACTGGTCGCCCCAGCACTCCGCTGATGCACACCTTAGATGGTCTCGGTGAGTGACTTAACATTTTCACCCAAAAATCGTTTTTTTTTTTTCAACTTAAACTAGTTAAAATCAATATTAACTCGCATAAATATTGGATTTAATTCGTAGTAGGTCAGGCTTGTTTTAAATATTGAGTACATTTCTTCAATATAGTCTATTATAATTGGCCGGGCCGCTCCGGCTGCGCGCACTTAGCCGGCGGGCATAAGTCCGGTACTTCCCGCGTACTACACACTAGCACCGCCCACTCGCATGCAGTCTCGATAAACGCCTTCTCTGTACAGGTATCATCAACAGTGAAGGTAGACTGTGGAAAAGCCAGCGCCGGTTCCTGCACGAGAAACTCCGCGAGTTTGGCATGACTTACATGGGCAACGGCAAGAAAATCATGGAGGGCAGAATCAAGGTCAGTAGGAGGAACAGACTCTATTGAAAAGTAAAATTGGTTACGCGAATTAATTGAGCGGTTAACGGGCGTGGAGAACAGTTATACTAATTTGTGTGTTTTTATTCTCAGAGCGAGGTTTACGAGCTGATAGAGAACTTGCAACGAACGGAAGGCGCGCCTATAGACGCAAACCCGTTGCTCGCTTTAGGAGTGTCCAATGTTATTTGCGGAATCACGATGTCCGTACGATTCAGTCATGGCGATTCACGCTTCGAGAGGCTCAACCATCTCATTGAAGAGGGCATGCGGCTGTTCGGCGAAATACATTATGGAGAATATATACCACTATATAATGTACGTATTTAATATTGAATGATACATTTTGTTGTCAGTCAGTTTGTGTCAGTTTTCCCTATTTGATAAAAACTTAAATAGAAATTTTAACGAATGTTTATATTTTAGTATCTTCCTGGCAAGGCTCAGGCCCAGGAGAAAGTGGTCAAAAACCGTGAAGAAATGTTCGCATTTTACCAGACTTTGATCGATGAACATCGCGACACTCTCGATCTAAACAAAGCTAGAGATCTTATTGATGTTTATCTTATTGAAATCGAAAAGGCGAAAAATGAAGGCAGAGCCGGTGAACTATTTGAAGGGCGAGATCACGGTTGGTAAAATTATGCAATATGTTTTTAAATTGAACAATTATGCATTTTTAAAAATAATTAATAGCAAGCTACAAATATTGGTCCAATTGCTAAAGAAATATTTTAACTCCATTTTTTTTATTTCTAGAACTACAAATTAAGCAAATTCTCGGAGATCTTTTCTCAGCCGGAATGGAAACTATCAAGTCTTCGCTTTTATGGATGATCGTGTTTATGTTGAGAAATCCCGATGTGAAGAGACGAGTTCAAGAGGAATTAGACCGTGTCGTTGGTCGGGAGCGTTTACCCACCATTGAGGACATGCCAAATCTCCCATACACCGAGACCACAATTTTAGAAACTTTGCGGATGTCTAGCATTGTTCCTCTGGCTACAACACACTCTCCCACAAAGTGAGTATAGTTTTCATTGAAAGATTAATACTTAAAAATAAATCAGAATACAAGTTATGACGCATAATCCTGTGATTCTCAAGCGTAACTAACTAGTTGTTTTGTCACCAGGGACGTTCATCTCAACGGCTACAGAATCCCAGCGGGTTCTCAAGTTGTTCCTCTCATCAACTGCGTCCACATGGACCCAAAACTTTGGGACGAGCCGAACAAGTTCAATCCAAGCAGATTTATCGACGACACCGGAAAAATCAAGCGCCCGGAATACTTCATGCCTTTCGGGGTTGGTCGCCGTATGTGCCTTGGTGACGTCCTCGCCCGTATGGAGATGTTTATGTTTTTCGCTAGTATGATGCATCAATTTGACGTACAAATGGAAGCAGGTGACGCTCCCCCATCATTGGAAGGCACGGTGGGGGCCACTATTTCACCCCAAGCGTTTCGAGTACGCTTCTTGCCGCGGATGATGCTCAGCACCCCAACTCTTGGACCCGACCACCCCCATCTGCGCCATGTTGGAGCCCACTAAGACATTTCCGATTAAAGTCATGGACGTAACTAGGATGTTGATCAGAAAAGCTTTGTTTAGCAGTGTAAAAGCTACAATATAACCATCACATTTTATACATATATTGTAATACAATGCTTGTCGTGAGAAATTGTAGAAAATTTTTCAGATTCCTAGGTACGTTCATGTTTGCCACAATATCCAGATACCCACCAGTATTCAATGATCACTCGTTTTAGAGCGTATCGATGACAATTAAATGTAAGTCTTTAATATTTAAGTGACGATATCGCTGGAGCGATGGTCGAGGCTGTGCATAAAGTGTTCAATTACATTTAGAACGAACTTCTTTAATTTAGTATATACCGTAAATTCCCATCGTTGAGATTATGAATTCGTACGATTGCAGTATTATATATTTTCGATCTGTGAGATCAGTTTATATCACATGCATTGTATGAATCATTTACGTAATGAATATTTGAACTATTGAAGTCTTAAACTCTAGTTTCCTATACCAAAACATTTTTTTTAATCTAGATCATTATTTATTAGTAGGTACCACTTGTCAGAGTGTTGTTTGTTGAGTGTGATCTCAAGTTCGCGTTACATATTATTTTGTATTTTTTAAGATTTGCAAGTGTTCATCGTTTATATGTTTAGTGTATTGTATACCTATCATGTGTAATATACATAGTAACATTCCATGGTAGCGTAGAACCAGCAACTAGTCTAAGAGCGGTAGTTATCGTCGCTATAAGTTCATTTATTGTCACACTAATTGGCAGGATATAATTTGACTGTGAAAACTCGATTAACATAAGTTGGAAAATTATATAAATGCATTAATTACAGATCACTCATACTTCGCCTTTTATAAGGAAAATACCATTAACTCTGATTCGCTTTGTAAATACCGCCTTAATTTTAAAAATGTATTTTTTTTAATAAACAATGAAATTATTAATAGAAAATAAACATCTCGTTTGACTTTATCCCACTTCTCACCTGTATGCAACTAATAGTTGTAAATGAAATACATGAAATGAAATACAATAAATAAAAAACTTCATTTTGATGCTATATATTTTTTTTATTGTTTACATCTAAGAAATGCATCATAAACTACTAAATTATATCAAAGAAAATTAAATAGGTACACATGTGTACAATGTTTTCGGTGGTGCCAAAGTGACGCCAACAGTGCCTTGCATTTCTACTTCCGATGGTGGATCTTGGGCTAACTGAACACGCATATAGCGGAACAAACGGGTTATTAACCCACACGACATCATGCGAGATAATTCATCACCGGGACACATACGCTTCCCTGGAAGAAAAAATTAAGAGATATTAAGATAAAAGTCGGCCACCAAAAAGTAATTATTGGTATTCTAAACATGTGAATAAATTTTATTGACACTGAATCTTACCATCTTAGTATTTCAAAAGACCAACTAAAATTCAGAGCTTAACAATTTCCGTGAAGTGTAAAAACATACATAAGTATCTCTTGAATACAGTTACGAAAAAAGGATAAAAAAGTAAGAAGTTTTGAATGTTTCTGACCGTAAACAAATTAATGAATTCGATCTAACACGATCGATCGCATTGCAGGTAATGGCTTTACCTCTCACATGATGAATACGGTGAGAATAAGTAATGCTTAAAACAGGCTGAAGATACCGATGTCGACGTAAATTTACATTTAAAAGACAATTAAAACATAAATTTGAAACCTGTTTGAAATGGTATGAACTCCTGTGGTTTAAGTAAATTTCCGTCTTCATCTAAGAAACGACTTGGATTAAACTCTTCAGGTTTCTCCCAAACTTCAGGATTCATGTGTATTGCCCACTGCAGAGGAACCACCATTGTGCCTTTAGGAATTCTGTAACCGCCTAAATAGGTATCCTATAATAAATTCAAATATGAAACTGTAGGACAGATGTGTACATATGATGTAATTATGATATGATGTAATCACAACAGAGTACCTCGGTACATCCATGAGGAATTCCAATAGGGACGATAGAGCGGATGCGTTGTGTCTCGCAAATTGCTGCCATTAGACGTGGTAGTTTCGAGTAATCGGAATCATTTTCATCGATTAAAACCGACAATATCTCGCGGCGAATAGTTTCCTGCAATGTAATATTTCAGAATATCACAAATAACCTGTAAAATAATCGACATAGTTGATTAAGAACAAAGCGCTTAGGTGCCAACTGCGTAAAGGTCTGTCTGTACCTGTTCTTCCGGGTACAGAGCCATATATAACAAAAACCAAGCGAGAGTAACTGACGTGGTATCAAGGCCTGCCCCGAACATGTCGGCCAAGAGATAAAACATCTGTTCATCTGTCATATATTTTGCATTCTCATCGCCGCTGTCGAACCTTTTCTTTTGTTCCAGAAGAAATTTGTCTAGAATACATTCGGAATCGGTTGGTATCAAAATTTCGGGATTGAAGTAATGTTGTTCCATTTCAGACGCATGTTTGCTATATTTTATACATTTTATTAATCCTTCAGGATGTTCTTTGACCAAATTTTTATGCAAAGAGTATTCCGCGCCTTTTGGAGTTTGAACTCCCAGTGCTTTTCGACGTTTTTCGACTATTGCACCGTAAAGTCTATGAGTTTGTGCTTGACCTCGTATCAAAACTTCAATTGTTTTTCGAGTAGATGCCGAAAGGAACCTTCAAATTGTATACTTAAATATAAATTAAACTTATATAAAACCAATCCATTGTACACAAAAATATCTGAAACATACCGAACAAATGGCAAAAAATTAACAGCCCCTGCAACACCCATCTCATGACAGCCTTCTTCCTGTATTTGTCTGAACCACTTCCAAGTTTTATCTTCAGACGGATATTTGTAGCCAAATATAATTTCATTCACCACGTTCCCGAGTGAATCAGTTAACATGTACGTAAGATCGACTGGTGTCCCAGAAGCTTCCCTTACGTTCTGAAATCGAAGATAATTTTATCGAAAAACAAATGTAAATTGTATGTAAAATATTCTTAAGTATTTAACAACTGTGACGGCGACCGTCGTCGTACCAAGCGCATTATAAAAACAAAAGCCGAGGATCGTGTTTTTTTGCGCAAAGTCTCGGTAACATTTGTCAGTGACATTAAAAGGTCACTTTCAGAAATAATAAACGTTGGTTTTTGTCGGTTAAAAAAACTGATGAAGCGGATTGAACGCAATGCAAATTATGCAACAAACAATAAAAACAAATGCCAAACCTGTTGCAGTTTCACATTAGAATTCTTAATAGGATTGTTTTTTTTTTATGTAAGAAGATGGCTAGCGAACTGGCAGTTCATCTGATTTTAAGTGATGACCACCGCCCAATGCACATTTGCAACACTCTTAGGATTGCTGTTGTCACCTTTTCATAAAGTGGACCCCGGTTACCTCACTCACCAGACGAAAAACACGAAGACTTTAATAGAACAATAATAAACTACAGTAGTTCAAAAACTAAATCACACATCCGTTAAAAAGTAATGAGAAGCGAGGCAATAAGTCGTATAATTAAACAGATGAGCTAAATTTCACGCAATATAAAAAAGACAGAAAATGAAAACGAATAGTTCAAATACTTGTAGTAGCTCGTTCACGCCGCAAGCTATGCGCTTCTCCAAATTCTCGCGAGATTCGCTGTATTTGCTCATCCCAAAACTCTTTAACCACATGGTTATCAATTTTCGTTGGTCCCTCCACAATGCCCCCTCCGCGCATATAATCCCTAAAATATGAAATAATGTTGTCATACGTCACAATACAGGTTTCTGGTCCATATAAATCATTGCTTCCATTAAATTTCACACATGTAGCTCTAACTTTTCATTGGAATTCAAATTGACGTTCACAAACTTGCTCTAAGTTAAAACTTATATAATAATTAATCGTTTCAAGGAGCCTACTCAATATCAAAAAAGTCAACGAAATTATACTAAAAGTAGTAGCAATTAACACAATTTAATTTACCTTGGGAATTAATTATATTCGGAACTTTAAAGCATTTCAAACAATAATACTACGATACTAACGATCTACTTGCATCAACAATGCTGGCAACTTACCGTTTCCACGCATTATGCCGTGTGTTAAATATAATGGTGCGCGTCCTGCGAAAGCATCCTTCGTAAAAGCTTCCCTAACCAATTTATGATCTGACAACACCACAGTGTAAACACTTCCCATTCCAATTCCGTACATTGAACCAAATTCCTTGCTTAGTCTAGTTAAGGTCAAATGTGGTTGGTGTCGATCAATGAATGGCAAGAAACCAACAATTGGTAATCCCCAAGGGCCCGGTGGTAAAGTCTGCCATTCCTTTAGCTTTTTAAATATCCAAAACCCGAGCACGAAGGTGACAAGCCATAAAAATATAAAGTCCATTATCCCCTGAAACCAAAACGTCTTTATTATAAAATTTTACATTTTTCTGTTGTAAATTAGATTTATAATAAGTAATAATTTTTGTTGCTAATATAATCTGTTATATATTATACTTTAGTCATTTACTCTTCAAGATAATATAATTATACAGCGTGTCTTTACAATCGCGACAATAAATGAACACACATATAGGGGATAACTTTTTAAAATTGTATTAAACATTTAAACTCTTTAAACATCAATATTTACAGAGTTATAAAATTTTCCAAAACAAAGAATTTTAGAACACCCTTACCTATAAAACTGTAACGTAAAGTTCATTTGTAAAGGTCACAAAGCATATGAATGGGTTGAATGAATTTAAAAGAGACAAAACATACTGTTAGAAGGGGAGGCTTGTAATGCGACGCTGTGGCGCTTGTAGTTAGGATGTTACAAATTTTGTTTATTTTTTACTTAATTAGTTTGTTTGAAAAATGTATTTTTTAAATTTTGGATTTTGTTTAACGTTAATATATTTTTATGATTATTGGCAAGTAGCGTTAGACGTGTGTTCATTTATTGTCCCGATGGTAACGACACGCTGTATACTGATTGTATTTTGGCCATGTACTTGATATTGATTGTAAAATAATGCAAATATTGGTACCTCTTTGTTTTTATTATATACACTACGCATATATGTATACTTACACATAATACGTAGTTTATACGATATAATATGTTATGAAGAAAAGTAAAATAAAATAAAAGACTATATATGCTCCATTGTGCAAAGGCCTCCTCTGTACAAAGGGTAATAGGGCATGATCCACCACGGGACGCCAGTACGGCCAGGCGGACTTCACATATCTTCGAAATATTTTTCAAGTAATACTTCTTTTGTGGGTTTGGAAAGAATATGGAAGTAAAATTTTCACGAAGCGCGCACACCGAGAGCCAAAAAGTGACAAGACAAAGTTGTAGGCAAAACGATCAAATTCGACCAACTTCATGGTATTACCATCGCAACCAACAAAAACTTTTCGACATTTACCTATAAAAAGCCTATACATGCCCCACTGCTGGGCAAAGGCCACCTCTGTACAGAGGGTATCAGGATATAGTCCTCCACGCAGCCCCCCCACTGCGGATTGGCGGACTTCACATATCTTCGAAATATTTTTTTAATTATTATTTCCAAAATATGCAGGTATCCTCACGATGCTTCACCGATGAGCACGTGATAATTCAGCACTTGAAATTAACAATTTCATTGGTTTCGGCCCCGAGGATTGAACTCAGGTTACTCGAGTATATTGAATTAAAGGCGAGCGCCCGGTCACTGAGCTATCACCGCTCGTTACCTATAAATCCAAGTCATTTAATTAAACCGTCATTTAGAGATATTTAGTCATTCTTCTTTTTTTACTCTAAAGAAGTATAACTGCTTCCGTGCGTATAGTTACAGTATAAGTACATACATAATTTTTTTATTATTTCTTCGCAAACATGCAACGATTGTTTTTTTTCGCCGCTAAGCATGTGCCTATTTAGCACTTAAAATTAACAACTGGTTACTAGAGTAGTATATTGAATTCAAAGCGTATATAATCAGGCACTGAGCTATCACGCTCATTATGACGTATCCATATGACGTATCATAGATACTAAATATTTCATTACATATCTACATCATTAAATTTGTTTAATTGGAACCAAGACAGATAAAAAACATAAACATATAATGTAACTCAAACATTCTCGATTAAAATTTCAAACTAAATAGGAGTCTAATCTTTGACCGATACAGCGCTGCCAACATAAAACGTTGAGAGCGCACGTGAACGTGACGCACGAAAAAGAATAAGGAGGCATTCGTTATCTGTTCACTATAAAAGCTAGGTTATGTTTATCAGTTGTAATATCTACTATTATATTAACAGACTAACCTATTACTTCTTCGCAGGTGGCCACGATCTTCACAAGAATGATGTCACAGTAAGTATTGACGCTTAGTCGTTGTGAAGCAACGCCTATCCACGCACTTGGCCAACCTAGACCACTGGTCACGTGGCTCGACGCCCGTCGACTGCAGCCCGCACTCATGTTTCAGGCCGTTTTACCAAAATTTGTAATTCATCCCAATGAGATTCAGTGATTCGTTTTTCGAATCGATGTTAAATATTTCCAGAAACGTTTGGGTCGTTACCTGCGGGCCCTTTCGACCAGGTAGGTAACAACATGTTTTATATTAAGTAAATTAAGTTAAACTGACGATTTAAAATGCATATAGACTTAAATTGTTATAGATATATGCTGCATATTCTCCTAATTTTACTGATCATTATTTAGGATTTGACAAAAAAAATAATTGATTTATATTTATACCTCCTACTCAATACATTTTTATCAGGACTGTTTCTATAATCTGTATGATTAGTATAAGGTTATATTTTTATTATTATAAAATAAAAAAAATGCAAGCGTCCTATATACTTTATTTTTTCTAATATTACCTGAATTGCACTCCAATCTTCATTCTAGTTCACTCAGCAATAAATGGACGATGGAAGAAACCTTGGTTACATACGCTTGTATAGGGTTCCGTTTCCCAAAGGGACTGTATTACTAAGACCCTGCTGTCTGTCCGTCTGTCACCAGGCTGTATCTCATGAACCGTAATAGTTAGATAGTTGAAATTTTCACAAATGATTTATTTCTGTTGCCACTAAAACAACAAATACTAAAAAACAGAATAAAAAATGTTAAAACGGCAAAAAAAAAAGTCTGTTGTAAGGAACAGACATGAATTTTTTTTGCCGTTTTTATAGATAATGATACGAAACCCTTCGTGCGTAAGTCTGGCTCACACTTGGCCGGTTTTTTATTTACAAAATCTGCTACCAAGCGGCTTGATCATTTCACTATATTCAAAACTATTTAAGTTTTGAAAAGAAACATTTCATTGTAACTTTAGGAAGTAACATTTATATCACCCAAGTTCATTACATTACATTTAGTAACCATGTCATGGTCACGCTTAATGATTTTTGAAAATCACCCTTTTTTGCCGAGTTTGAAATTTTAATCGTGTAAGAATATAGATAAACATTTTTTTTTCTGTGGGAATAGAACCCAGGTCTGTGATATTAGCGGCCTGACGCTTTAGGCACTAAGCTAAACAACTGATTGCCACACCGACGAAAATCTTAACGTCTTTTATCTACATTTTTCTTTAGCATTTGAAGCAATGCTTGGTGTATCCATTGTTATATCCTTTCCAGCATACAATTAATTTCGAATATCGTTTTACAACGATATTTCGAACGAGAGATGGATAACAGTAGGTAATTTAAAATTTAAAAATATGGATAAAATGTCTTTCAAATTTCGAAAATAACTATGTAAAATTCCATATTTTCCGATACAAAAGGATGTGAATGGTTTTGTTCAGTGTGAATTTATCCGAGATTTAAAGGAATCGGTGTCCCCGTTTTTCGCTCGTTATTAATGGGAGCCCTAGCTAGGTGGAGTGTGAGACGGACAGCGAGGTCGCTCGCAATGGCGGGCGCAGGCGACGCGAAGTGTGAAGGCCGGTCAGCGGCCAAGCTGCTGTTATCGGACCAATCATAACGATCACAGCACCGGCACTACCGATTAATGCTTATTAACGATCGATATCCACGTGCCGATTTTTATTAAAATCTTATACAGCTAACTAATCACACGCCCACACACGCACCGAGCCGCGCACACAGGCCCAATCCCGCAAATTGTCGCCGTGACAAAGTAAGCTGTAACCTGATAAGTAAGCGAGACTTTAATTGATTGTTGACATTCAAGAGATATTACTGCGTTGCTCGCTTGCAACAAAAAATGGTCCTTCAATTCGGTGTTAAAATAAAACAAACGCACAGTGTTTCATTGGACGCCCGTATAAAGACGGAATGCACCCATAAGTTATAAAACTAATAGCGGTGTTGTTTCGTACTTAATGTGAGATAAACTATTAATAGTTTTCGAAGTACCTCCTGTTATTGACGGCGCCAAAGGTAAACGACATCGGTCAGTAAGTAAATAACATACACATTAATCATTGAATTAAAGTTTCATTAGTTATCAAATTAACAGGCCAGCCGCGTTTTAGATAAACCGTTTAACATTTACACCGTGATATTTATAGCGAGAAACTCACATCACTGGCTTACATAGCGGGAATAATAATATCAGACCGTATTCGTCTTACGAGTGCAGACTCCTTATCTTAATTGAAGGGCTCGATACAAGTCCACCACGCATCAACGTTTACCTGGCGACTTTTAGTTATTCTCCGACATTTGGCTCACTGTTAATTACAGGTTTGCAGTCCCCAGATTAAACTCCTAAATGTGTTATACCATTTCAAGTAAGCAGTGAGAGATATTTTATTATTGACGTAAACCCAATGTTAGTCACCTGTCTCGATACCGCTAGGGCTGTTATTAAATAAATGTGAATCGCTTATCTTAATCTTGATACTCGTCACTTACATTGATGTATAAATGTTTTTAAATTCATATTCGCTTAAATTTTGTCTTGGACTAAATAAATCTAGGCATAAATAAAGACTAGGCCTGAATGACAAACAATAATTTCGTCAAACATATCGCCGGTTAAGACAGAATTTCCCTGCTTGGCAGAACTCGTGTGGCCCAACTTTTTGCCATTTTCATTCAGCCACCGTACAGTTATCCCGCGCCCAGTGTTACTGACACAATGCAAGGTTAACAAGAGGTGGACGCCCGCACAACTGCACTTAAAAGGACATTTACGTTTTATCGAGGCGAACGGATTAAAAAGAACTGGCCGCCGGTAGAGAACCCATTTCCACCGTATGTGAGGAAAACACACTTTAAAACCCACACCCGTTTCCTGAACGTTAATTATGATAGAGCCATAACATGTTTTTCAATCTCAAAATACCCATCGTGTTTTTAACTGAAGCCACTTCCCCATTTTTTAAGATCAGAACTTGATTACGAGATAATTGTCAGAGCTGCTGGTAAATGCTAAAGTAATTATTTATAATCCATCACAATGTTACCGAGTGGAGCGCGTTCGCTGATTAGTGCCAACGAGTAAATGCGACGCACCAGCCGGCGTCAACTCAATGAGTCTCTAATGAGATACTCTTGTCAATGGGCAGCGAACTAGATCACAATCTAAACCAGCCTCTATTCTCTTTTACTTTCAATGGCCCATGAAGTCGGCGGCCGCCGGCCCGGTCGTCCACTCCGTCGAGGGCCACTGAACGTACTAGATCATTTTATTCCTTTTAACTATTTACTCTCGCCGGAACGGTCCAGAATACCTGCGTACACCGTGCAGGTCTTTCTGTTTTTATTATTTTTAGCTCGCGCGAAAAAGGCAGTTGTAGCGGCCAGGGTCAACGCATTCGAGGCTTTTACCCCTAGCACGGGCAGCTGTTGCACAATAGTCGACGGGATTCCTGGAATATTTCACGAACGCGTGGACGCACGGTCTATTTATAGGGACCAGGAAAGTTCCAAGTTATTTATAAAGTGAACATTTTCCGCTTCCATCCGCTGCTATATTGTCATGAACAGAGATCGTATTAAATGTTAAGTGTTTACTTAAATTAATGACATTATGCAAAGATGTTTACTTTATTCCATACATACATAGGAGTCAGTATCTTTAATTTTCCGCAGCTAAAATTTTAAATTGGCGTTTAGCGAAAGGCAGGTTTAATAGTACGCGGAGCGAACTTAAGGTTTTCAGATTTTAAACAAAATGGTCGAGATGTGTCGCCTAAAAGGTTGTTTCGAAATGTTTGCCAGTTTGTTGAGAGATCGCGCAATCGAATACTCGTGCAGTAGGCTCGATGAGTCAAGCCGGGCGGCTTGCCGGCTGACAGCGCTCTCTGGCGCCGACCAGGGCCATCGATGTCCTTGCATTCTTCGCGGGAACAGCAGAACAGTACCGGTTCATTGACCCTTGATAATGTGAAGGGATCATGCGCTCTGAGCTAATAGGCGCCTTTACATAATAATACGGCATGAGGGTCGAGTACACTTGACGGTCGACATCGCTAACTCTAAATCAGTACACTCCCTCTATCTAAAATGAGATCGCTCTACTTTTACATTGTCGTACCAATTAATACCCTAGATAAAAATTGTTTTTCAACCTCATGGAGCATGACCATTCGATGTCAAACAAGGAGTGTATCGAAGTCGTGTGGATGTATGCTCAAGTAATGAGGTCAGAACGCGTGCACTGTTCATATACGCACGAAGTGCTGTGATGTGAAAACAATGTAATGTAATATTTGGGCAACAACAAGCTTGGAGCTTGAGCATATTTTCTTAGCAATTCAATCCGTCAATACTTAGAAGTATGCACTGTGTAATTTTCGTTTTGTCACTTCTATACTATTTGGGATGCAAATTAGCTATGATCCACTTTTTTCTCTAACACGTTTATATTTATTGATACGTCTACCGATAAATATCAGATGACTATTTCATGTAATAATACATTTATCACTTATGCAGAGGATAAAATCCATATATTTTTTCCCAAATGTATGTTTAGCTGTACGCAAAAACTTCCATAATTCTTCATCAAATTTAATGATTTCAACACCAATTCAAAGTTTGTGTTTCATACTATTGAATTTAAAAGTAAAGAAGTAAAGAAAAGTTAATATTTTCGCTAAAAAAAAGCTTTCATTTCCAATTTTATTTAAAAGAATATATGATATTATTTGCTTACTTTTGATATGGGATTGCTTACTTTTGACAATTTGTTTCTTGACGGTATCATGGCAATGGCATGGTAAAGATCGCAGTCTCATGTTTGAATCTCATTAATTTAACTGTGAATTTTTTACCATTCTCCGCCTTCCCTGCTATTTGCAAATAAATAAAGCAATTGCTGGGTAAATTGGTAAATCAAATATTCGTAAGCATATTAAAATTTTAGTATAAAACAAAAACCTTAACCATAATAATGTGTCATACATAATTATATAAAGTGAATTTAGAATGGTTTATCTCATTAAGCACAATAATTTTCGTACGATGCGCATAAGATATACATATGTAACATGTTATGTAGTTCCACCCTTCCGCCTGGGTACGGAACCCGAGCGCGGCGGGATATGGTACAGCGATTGTACAGGGCGGCAGCGGCGACGCCATGTTTACAAACAAAGAGATCAACGCTCGCCAAGTAGGTTACCGCAGAGGAGCGCCGCGTGCGCCTGCGACTGCTTATTGCGCGGGTCGTGGTCTCTCGCCAAACGGCCGGCTCCCAAACGAGCACTCTGCCATCAGCGCCCAAACGAGAAAGTACGCTGGTGCGGCTAACCGACAATCGTTCATTCACCCCGCCCACCGCTCTAAGCACACTTCACCTTTACTACGTTGTAATCGCTTTGTAATTAGACATTAAGATTCACGAAGGTAAACGGATAATGCATAAAACTTCATGCGGCCCAGCCGGTGCAATGTGACCCGATTAGACGTTCGAACGAAATTAGACTAGGCGGATTAGTATCGTTAGTACAAAGGTAATATAGGTGGCGGCGCGGGAGAAATCGATACAATGGCCGCGAGGCATTCGGCGCGCCGGAAGAAAGTTCCCAACGATTTGCATAGCGTTCGGCGATAAGCGGGCAAACTATCCTGCGACACCGCGATGGCCCACATAGACACGTTTTATAGTTTATTGTCGTGGACCCATTTCCTTAGGAGCCCAGCGCAAACGTCGCCGCGACACACTTCGCTCACTCCGAAAGTTTCACCGGCCCAAGAGAAACTTACAATATCTAATGGGACCGGCATCCGTCTATGCAGATTTCCAGATCATGCCTTCAGAGTAACGACCTAAATACGAACATTACAAAGCAACAGATCGAGAGAGAGGCTGCTTAGCGTCTCTCTAACGTCATTCGTCATTTCAATCGTTTTGAATTGAGGGCTGCAGAACTCGATAGTTACAGGAACCCTTCGCTGCATTTCACTTTAGATGCGCTTTAAAAACGCCGGCCAGCAATATCAAACGAAAGAAGGCACAGAAACAAAACTCGTTTTCATTACAAATGCCTAATGGGCGGGAAAAACTTGCACTAGTGTTACGTTAGAAAGCGCAGACATTTCACCATAAAGCCTAGAAAGTGTACATAAGAAGAAAGTGAAGAAGTCGTGGAAAAAGTGCAATGCGAACGCATCGGAGCGCGAGAACATCGGCCTGATGCGGCGAGTATTGTCTATACCCGCTCTGAACATCTGAAGTTTCCAGTTGGATCGCCGTCACTTTTCCTCCCCGCATGAAACCGACGCGTTCGCTTATACGCGTTTCTCAGTGTATCACATGTTCGCCTAGTTCGCATTTATATCGGCGCGTTCATTTTTACTTTCGTTTCCGCTCGCTCTTATTTGTTTACGTTTAAGTGTAAATACTGTTCATATTATTATTTAAATTATACATAATTGTTAATCATTTTATCAGTGTCTATTCATGTTATTTTTATGTTACATTTATTTATTTGTAGATAATACATTTAATTTTATTTAACTCTCTTTTATTATTCAATTTTTTTTTGTATTGTAAGATAAAATACCTAAATGGTATGTCCCATGAGGAAGGTGGGATTCAGAAATATGGAAGCGGCATTCTTGGGAGTCCATCCAAACCTGGTGCTTGATATTCTGAGTATGTTTATCTCAGTGGCCTAGTGTGCACAATCCATCTTTATATATCTGAAACGCCAAGTGGTTTTTATGACCTTCAGTTTATTTTTCCATAAAATACGAGCAAATGGTTGTCAAGTAATAATAATAATAATATATACCTTTTGTAAATGTGAAAATAGAACGTAATATTTAAATTAAGGAACTGATATATTGTTTTTACTAGTACTTATATAACTTTTCTAATACAGAGTGTGACTGTGAAGATCGGAGTTCCGCCATATTGTTAATGTCTTACTTGTTAAAGTCATAATTGTTAATATTTTACAGTATTTCATTGACAGGAAACGGGACCAATCACTGTTATAAATATCCAATATTTTGACCGTAACGACGTTACAAAAACGATTTAAATATCATAACGAAGAATCCAAAGAGTTATGAAATACAAGTGGAGTACCTCGGGAAAACATCAACGGTTACATTAAAATTTAAGAACCTAAATTTAAGACATATTGTTCATTGTTAGTTTTTTTAACTTAAAAAATATACGTAAGTATACGAAAGTGAAAATTGAACGATACTCATAAATGCGCTCTATTTATAGGTAAATCACGCATTACGCGCTCGCGCAAATATACCGGTGTCTCGTGTGAGTTGGTACACGGCCCATACAAGATGAATAATTTTCACTAACGGCGCCTCTCCACTATGAATTTAAATGGCCACATTGCAAGAGAGCGAAGATAAAACACTCTCTAATTGTTTCTTTTTTATTGACAATTTCTTTTCATTTCCGATGAATAGTTCGGATTGTCACATGCGAAATCGTTTCGTAAGAGAAAACACAAACATAGACCGTACGGCACGAAGTGTATGAAATTCGATTTCAATAATGATTTAACGAGATATTAAATCGAATATAGCCTGGCCACCTTGATCGGAGTAATAACCGAAAGAAATGTCTTATTCTATCCTTCCAAAAAAATTTAAATAATTAAAAAAATGGCGACTCCTAAGTGCTTACTGCAATCGTTACTTTTTATTTGAGAAGGTAGTAAGCGAGCTGGTTAGTAAGTTATAACCGCCGCCCATAGAAATTTGCCACACCTGTAGGGTTGCGAATGTGTTGCCTCCTTTTAATAAAGTGGGCCTCAGCTACCTCCCTCACCAGACTAAACGCAGATTAGATAACACTTCCACTTCACGCCGGTCTTCCATGAGGTCATGGTACTTACCTGGACGGATCTTCTCATTCATGCAACAGACGAAGCTGTTACGTGGCCCTTCGTTTTGTTTTGTTTTACCTCTCCGTCATCAAGGATTTACCCATAATATTTATTGGTAATAATGGAGTACCTAAATCTTACTTATTCCGTAAGCACTTCTTTCAATTTAATGTCATTTTCTTTTTTTTTTTTAGTTATGTTAAAACATTGCCCATACTTTAGGATAATATTATCCTGTGTTGTAAGGACGTTTTACAAACATAAATTTCACATGGACAAAGATGCGAAACAACTATCTGTGGGTCGCACAAATAGTTATCCCGTGTGGGAATCGAATCCACGAACCCCGATGCCGAAGCCAATACCTTGGCAACTGCGCCACAGTCATCATTTATGATTGATTTTATTTTTACTGCCAGTCTCTTTACTTAAGATGACACATAAAATGTGTTTGGATATACTGTAGAAAATTATTTTTTTTATTTAATCGTCGCGACCCTAACGCATAACGTAAAAGGAACGAGCACAGGGGATTCTCGTGCGAAATTTTTCAGAGCGCCGCAATATGGCCGGAAACAATGGTCACGGCGCGGGCGATCGGCGGGACGGGAAAGCTGCCGTTGCTAAGCGACGTCGAGAGAAAGAGTGTAAAGGAGAGAGATGGGCATTTCACCGCGCGGGGTCAACGCGCTCCGTATACTGTCGCTGATTGTGCCCCAATTGCGGTATGTGGGTCTAGGACGGCGTTCGTCGACCTGCGTGGCACACTTAGCGACGCCCGCGCACGGCCGCGGTGCTTTCACGCCCCACGGGGGGCGGGGGAAGGGCCAGTACACTCACGGACGGCCGAGGGAAACGCCATAGGATTCAGATGGGCGGAGAACAAAGACCTTTGTCTCGCACACCGAGAACTATTTCCCCTATGTTTATAACTTACCGTAAATAACAGTCCTTTGATAGATAAATATGGATTATTGATTTAAAAGTTAATTTTTATTATTATGTTCATAGCGCGAGAATCGAACTAATATTATCGAAGTATAAATTTCGCGTTTTGCTTTTTTTTTATTCTGAAGCTAAGGCTACAATAATTAACTTCGTTAACTTCCCTTATATTCTGGGTCCAGTCAAATTAGTTATAGAGATGTCCCGTCATCGTGAATAATGTCTGAACAGACGTGCACGAAATTCTTACAATGTAATTTAAAACACTGCAGATACGTAAAATTCGCAAATATACATTAAACGTAATTACCTAATCCTTAAAAATAAGAGTAATACCGTAGAAAGCCAGAGTACAATGTTACGCAGCAGTTGTAACGACGGATTTTCCGTTATCGCCAAATAACTGCGATGACGGAAACCGTAGTTACAATATTTTTAATTAGTTTATAAATGTTATAAAATTAAGTGGTATAAATCCGTTATGAAGAATACTAGCTATATAAATATTATTTTGTTTTACATACTACATACAAATTTTCTACTATACCTCGTCATATGATGAGAGATCCATCGGTGTCCTATATGATATGCCTAAATTATTATATTACGTTTTTATTTCACACAGTTGTCACAATATATACCATGACCTTGGCCAGTATTCTAACCTCTCCCTAAGTCATGTCATAATGATAAGATGGCCAAATCGCTGTGAAGTTACTTATTACTGGTCTTTGTCATGTTTTTTAGTGACAATAATACCCTAATTACCGCTTATTTTATTTTTTGTTCCCACAGTGCACTGGGCAATACAATTGACTTTAATTTTTGACCGACAGACATACTTCAAAAAGTTGTTTTGTTTCTTAATATGCCAGTGATGTATACAAATCTGTATTCATTAAACTTCAGCGCAGATTTTATTACAATTTGTTGTCTTTAACAGACGACATATTATGTTTATCAAAATTATCGAATATTTCTATCTAATATTTATAAAACACGGCTAATGGTGTTCAATTCTTAATATGTGCCTCTTTCATTACAAGAACCAATAAAAATTCCATGGAATTTAAAGTTACGAATTAAGTTGTGCTTTACTGAGACATGGTTCAATGATATGTCATTTAGTATAAAAAATTATTCAGTAGCCAGTAAATTTAACAGAGTATCTGCTATGGGAGGGGGGGTGTATATATCCTACATAGAAATACATTGAAATTAAAAGAAAGAACTGATATTGTTGCGTACTCTGTTGAACGACTATGTGAGATTGCATGTGCAGAGAAAGAAGATTATTTATTAATGTGTGTTTATAGACCACCCTCATCTGACCTTATAAATTTTTTATTAATTATTGAAGACATGTTCATTAAAATATTTAAAATAAAAAAGCATATAGTCATTTGCGGTGATTATAACATTTATTTTCTGACAGATTCTCCAGATAAAGTGAGATTTCTGTCACTTCTTAAAACATTTAATCTTTACTGTGTCTTCGATGAACCAAAAAGAGTAACCCCATCCTGTGCCTGTTGTATAGATAATATTATAGTAAATTGTAAAATCGTAAACCAAGAAATATTGAGTGGCGTTACATCTGACCATAAAGCCCTTAAAATAGACATCTATGTTAATACCAAAAATAATGGTATTATAAATGAGTGTAGGCTTGTAAATAAATTCAGAATTAAACAGTTTAGAGATAGCGTCAAACACAAGCTACCCTTATTAAAGTTAACTAATAATGATCCCGATGACAATTTCAATGCCTTGTTTAATATGATTACTACAGAATTTAATAAAATTATGCCAAAAAGAAAAACTATAACTTTAGGCAATAAACTTTGCTTTAGTGAGTGGGCAACTAGGGGAATTAGAAAGAGCAGGGATAAACTATATGATCTATATGGTATTAAGTCATTATCTTTTGATCCTAACTTCCATGACTATGTTAGGATTATTAAAAAAAAATTAAAAGGATCTGTACTTTAGCTAAAGCAGACTATTTGAGTAATAAAATTAAATTGTCTTCAAATAAAGTTAAAAGTACATGGACTGTAATAAATAAGGAAACTGGCAAAAATAATGAAAAAAAAGGTAGATTTTACATTAAAAGTTAATGGCAAAGTTTTAAAAGAAAAATATAAAGTTGCAAATGAATTTCTTAATGTCTTCACAAATATACTTTGTGAAACTACTAGACATTTGCAACACTGTCCCACAGAGGCAGTAACATATCTGGATAAATATGTTAATATTTCTATTCCAGATTTTAAATTTTGTCATATAGGCCCGAATGATATTATTAAAACATTTAAAAATCTAAATAAAAAGAAAACAGAAGACTTATGGGGCTTATCAATATGGGCAATTGATCTTATAATCTATGACATTGCCTGCACATTAGCCCAAATATTTAATACCTGTTTAGACAGTAGCAAATTCCCAAAGTTAATGAAATATAGTAAAGTTGTGCCAGTACATAAATCGGGTTCGAGAGATAATGCCTCTAATGACCGTCCTATCTCTATGTTGCCGGCCTTAAGCAAAGTGCTTGAGAAAATAATACTGGATCAAATGATAGTTCATTTTAACAAATATATAATTTTAAACCAGAACCAATTTGGATTTACTAAAGGTAGATCTACAACTGATGCAGGGATAGAATTAGTTTCACATATCCTGCAGTCCTGGGAAAGCTTTCATGACACCATTGGTGTGTTCTGTGACCTATCCAAGGCATTTGACTGTGTAGATCATACAATTCTAATCAGGAAATTGTAATATTATGGTATTCGCAATTGTGCCATTGACTTTGTTTCCTCATATCTTACTGACAGGGAACAGAAAGTAATCACAAATGGTATATTGTCAACGGGGTCAAAAGTAAAAATGGGCGTTCCTCAAGCATCGGTCCTGGGCCCTTTTCTGTTTTTAGTTCATATTAATTATTTGCCATGTATAGTGGAAAAAAGGTCTCAAATTGTTTTGTTTGCGGATGACACTTAATTATTGTTTAAAGGTAAAAGGAAAGATGATGCACTAGAACAACCAAATGAAATACTAGATGCTGTGTTTGACTGGTTTGCTACCAATAACTTACTTTTGAACTCTTTCAAAGTTGTGTCACCAATCAGGAATCTCTATTGATGAGAAAATCCTACCCCTTGAGGATTCAACAGCATTTCTTGGAATAAGCGTTGACTCCAAGTTGCAATGGGGATTTCATGTAGATAAGTTAGCTAAGAAATTGAGCGCTGCCGTCTTTGCCATACGCAAAATCAGGCAGCTAACTAACGAGGAAACAGCTAAATTAGTTATTATGCTTATTTTCACAGCATAATGTCCTATGGAGTCTTACTTTGGGGTTCTGCATCCGGTTTAGACACAATATCGGAATCTCGGAAACGGCTCCAGCGATTTTCATTTAGTATGTGCGTAGATTCGGGGGCGAAAAATTGATCTAGCTAGGTTTCATTTTTAGAAAATGTCATTCGAATATGACGGTAAATTTCGCCGCAAAAAAATTTTATAATAGCTCGGTCGGTAATCGGGCGGACCCAAAACGGACGGCCGCGGTTCGTATCACGATCATTTACACACTATTTTTTTTTTACTTTTTCTATACCAGATCATTGCTTTCTTTATTTTTTATTTTTTTATTTCCAAAATACATGATTTACCAAAAAAAAACGAGCTAAGCTCGGTCTTCCAGGTACTGTATGTATATATTAAACAAGAATATATTGTAGCTATTCTTTCTATCATTTTGAGATATTGATCTACAAGAAATGCAGTGCTGATGTCTGTGATTTCTACTCACAATCTGAGTAGGTTTTGTAGATAGAGTAAATGTAGAAAATCCAGTGTAAATTAACCTAATGAAAAGTGAAAGGAGCTCAATTTTTCTATGGGAGAAGTATTTCAAAGTCGTTTTTTAACCTGATGTTATGTGATTTCCACCTCCCATGGACGTAGTACACAGCAGAGTTGTCAAAATTGACAACGGTCAACTTGTAAATGTAATAGAGTGGGCAAGATTACCCCGCTCAACGGGCGAAGCACGAAAGTATTATACAAAAATTCAAACACATTTCGAAAGTCATCATACGAACGCTGACAAAAGACATTCGATAGCGGTCACAAAAGAAAGGTGGCGCAGCGGCACAGTAGCCCCAACAATACCTAAGGGAATGTGTTAATTAAGCGCAGTGGGCCAACTATTGAAACTAATGCACAGGCGCACGAGATAATTGTTGGTGTTGGTGGAGAGAACAAGGTCGGGTTAACTGGAGCAAGGTCAGACCGGGCAGTCTTCGAGTGATAGCGTGACCTTTGCATTCATTATCGCCTTCATCACAAACGCTTGACGCTGCCGCACACATGCGCCTGTGTACGCTACGTTAATGTTTTCCTCGTGTTGGAACGTGTACGATTATTGGGAAGTTCTTTTCTTTTATTTTATTTTTTATTTTTTTAGTAAAAATTTTTACACTACGTTCCCTAGTCCCAAACTAAGCAACGCTTGTACTATAGGTAATAGATAACTGATAAACATACTTAAACATACTTTTCTTTTGTAAATAAATACATATTATACATACAGATTCTGGGCACTAGAAAAACACTATGTTAATCACACAATATTTTACCAGTAGTGGGGATCGAACCCACGCCATCCAGGTCGTCGTCTTTCTAAATATATATAGGCCGATTTCTTTTACGCTGAATTATCGTCACTTTAACAATTTTTAATTTTACAAAAGCTTTTCAATTCATTCAAAAAAACAAGAACACATGCTTATAAACGGAATGGAAATATTACTGAGGTCAGTTACGATTTTTATTATCTGTTATTTTGTTCGTAATTTTTTTCTTTTTTATAATGTGTTAATTATACCATCAACAAATACGCATTTTTCAAATTTTAACCTTTTATACACTTGCATATATCCTGCCTTCTGATCATTTTATTCAGGTTTTATTCTATCGTACATTTGACGAGAAAAAAATTCAAAAAAATATATTGGATTTCTTTTGACAGAACTAGGACAAGTCTAAATTAGCGATTGATATAATTATTTGATATTCACAAGCGCTATAAAGAAACTTTTGTAAAAAGAAATATAAATATTTCCTTTACAATAACAGTATTATAGAATAAATAAATATAAAGCATGTAGTTACAACCGCGAAAATAAATGAACACATATAGAGGATAACTTTTTAAAATTGTATTAAGCCTTTACGTTCTTTAAACATCAATATTTACAGAGTTATTAAATTTTATAAAAACAAACATTTTTAGAACACCCTTACGTATAAAACTGTACGTAAAGATCATTTGTAAAGGTCACAAAGCATATGAATTCTTTGAATGAGTTTAAAAGAGATAAAAGATACTGTTAGAAGGAAAGACTTGTAATGCGACGTTGTAGCAACGAATGAAAACGTCTCTGAATGTATGAATCAGTCAGTTGTAGTTGTATAGGATGTTATAAATTTTCTTTCTTTTTTATTTAATGTTTGTTTGAAAAATATTTTATAACTATGTTTTTTTAACGTTTTATATTTTTTATGATTATTGGCAAGTAGCGTTAGACGTGTATTCATTTATTGTTGCGGTGTAACGACACGCTGTATAACAAAAAAATCTCTATTTCCTAAGCTACAGTAGCTACTCTAGTTAAGGTTGATCTCAGCCTTGTCATCAATTTTTGCAAATAGCTACTAACTAGCCCGTCTGCCTATTACGGAAGATGGCGTCATATCCCAGTATACCTATAAGGCCGAATCGTAACAACTTACAATATATTAGTTTTTTAATATAAATTATTTGTTTGATATTATATAAAGATTGGCTGGAATAAATTATTACTTTTAGTTTCATCATCATCCTCTTGCCCCTGTCCCACCTAGACCTTTACATCGGGTGGAACCGCCGCACCGCACCGGCTTGTTTGCTACCTTCTCACTTTAAAAAAAGCTCAAAGAAATATTTTTTTACCTACCAAGATATTCAATCTACAAATAAAATATTTCAAAACAAACTCTCACCTCTAATAATAATCAATTATGTTGCTACAAATTATTCAAACACGCGTCGACTTAGCCTTTGCTTGCGGACAATAAATAAATAAGTCGTGTAAGACCAAAAAAAGCACGCTGTCACGGTAATTGATGGTCGCATTCGCTACGCGGTTACAATTAAATGGGAAGAACCAAATAAGAGCAGGTGCACAAAAAACAAGAGCTTCATGGAAGCGAGAGAAGGTTCCAAGAACCAGTTGCAGGTATGCGTCTTGAGGCAGTGAAGTGAATCTTGCATTTATGACGTCATTATGATTCGCACATAAAGTCGATCGTTATTACCGTCATATTAAATAAAAAGATAAAGCGTAGAGGTTTGTTTTTCTTTATTTTTCCCAATCGACGCTTAATTCACATCCCGTTTCAAAAAAAGGACAGGTAGATGACATGGCAACCGATTATGAGTATTTGTTTTATAACATAGTTGTAAAAAGAATTGTTACTACATAAACTCAAATTGAGTGCAGAGAGTAGCATAAACAAATAACATTTATATTTTAAACTTTTCATTTTTAAATTAGTATAGTCCAAAATAACTAGTCAGTACATGAAATACAATGGAATCGTCAAGTTCATTACATCCAATTAATAAAATAACCCGCGACAAAATGAAAGTCACAAGTACTTAAAGGACGATGACGCTACTAATTAGATGAAAAGATAACCAGTTACGTTTAAAATGATCTTCGGCCACACTATAGGCATTTACTGATAATCACACATACACTTATAATAACAAAAATAAAAAAGACACATCTTGTAGTTTGCAGCATAGCAAAACTTTTTGAAGATACAAAATAAAAAATAAAGGCGAAAGCGGCTTCAATTCTATCGTCCATCTGACATACCTAGCCAAAAATTCCTTTGTCTTTTTGCAACACGCAAGCGACGTCTGGCATCTACTGCATTCTTTTGTGCCTAAGAACGGCGGGGTAAGTTTTGTAATTTTTATTTTTGAAATTCAAAATGTCTCGCTTGTTATTGACACAATTGTTTCCGAAGTTTATTCTTCTATAATAGTATTAAGCGTTCGATGTACCTTATGCGCGTGCACCTTTCGAGCTAAAAATAAGTTGCGCGTAAAGGAAAATACCCAATGGTATATGCGACGCTTATCTTTCGTTCAACCCTTGAGGCAGACGCGACGTCATCGGCTAGGCGTGCATGAGTCATACGCGCACATAATTTATAGTACATCTTCTCCGAACTGTAGGACGTGAAAACAAAAGTAATTAAACGTACTTCTAGACTGTTATTAGTCACAAATTGTGCACGTAACGTTATTAATTTATTTTGTTTACCACACTGCATTTAGATAAAGTGGAGTTACGCTTCATTTTGAAATTTATTTCACTTCGGCAATCTCTTTTCTAGACTGTTGTTTGTCACAAATTATGCACGTAACGTTATAATTTTATTTTGTTTATGACGCTGCATTCAGATAAAGAGGAGTTACGATTCAATTTGTAATTTATTGCACTTCAACAATCTCTCAAAAGTTTTGATGCCTACATGTTACAATGTAAACGCCCTGTGTTTTACATTTTGTTCCTTTTATAGTATAAAATAGTTTATTAATGCTTATTATCGTTTGAACATTTCTTCTTTCTTATTAATTCAGATCTTCTAGGGCGATGACTGGCTGCGGCACAATAGATTCTGGCAACACTGGTTCGGGCAGTGGTGCGGGGCCAACTACTATGGGAAGAATAGGCGTGGGCAATTCTACTGGCTCAGGGGCGACGCCTCCGGGGAGTACGGGCTGCGGAAGTATAACAGGCTCTGGGGAGATTTCAATTTCGGGAACGGGCCCTGGGATTTCCACTTCAGGAAGTTCGGGGCTCACGGTACTGGCTTGGTTCTTGATGTTCACTATGATCTGCACCAGCGGCAGCGGGCTGGCAACAGCCATCACCAACACCGCGACGAGAACGACGACAGTTTTCATAATTACCTGGAAAGGACAGTTATGATATAACGGGTCAATGAAAATTCAATATTGAAGCATTCAACCGTTTAGCGTTCTGTTGCTGAATTTTGAAATCTCTTTTAAAATTATTGGAATATTAGAAACAAAAAATTCTTTTTAAACATAAAACTTTTAGAATTCCAATACCCACATCAACACACGTCTTAAACAATTTTGTCACTATCATTGTAGACGCCTACAATTTTGAGTTAAAGTTTAATTTATTTCTATAGTTAAATTTATTTCACAATTACACTTACCTTTGTTCAAAACTGATAGTGTAACACTGCATATAAACTAGCAGGTCCACTTTTTATAACGTTCAATTAAGAAGCATAATCCGGGTTATCAGATAGAAACATTCTAAACTAATCCTTAAATCGGTTATTAAAGTTTATTGATTTCCTGTAACATAGAAAAAAATAATTTTTATCAATGTTATCTGCAAATGATACACATAAAAGTTAATTTTAACAATTTATAAATTTCTATGGGTAGTTTTTGTATTATGTGCAATGAAAAGATAGGAATGGAGCAAGTGGTTTATTTCACGGTAAGCGATTGACGCTGCCCACGGACATCGACAACATCTGAAGGGTTAAACATAAGTTACCAACATTGTAAACAATGTACATTACCTTTTTTATGTGATAAGATGACAACCGAGCTGGTGGTTCGCCCGATGTTAAGTGATGACCATCGCCATGGACACCTGCAACATCCGTAGGGATGCAGATGCTTTATCATCTTTTAATAAAGTAGGCTCCGGCTACCTCACTCAATCACCAGACGAAATGCAGAAGTATGGCATTCCCACTTCACGCCAGTCTTCTGTTATACCACTTACCCAGTACTTACCCAGACGGACCTACCCAATCTACAGTTAAATGTATAACCTCACTCACCATACGAAACGCGAAAGAATAACTACCACTTTACGCAATATTAAACATTCGTATAACAACAGAAGCTGTCGAGTGATGACCATAATACATTTAAAGATATTCTACAGAATCAAGATCTAGTCAGATCGCTGAGACATACAGAAAGTGTTGTACGGTATTCTTTTAAAACTTTAAATACTTCATATCAAAACATAAAAAAGCTCTCTCAGAAATAGCTCACAATAATTCTATAATGTTTTTCACGTTTTACCAAACTTATTTTCGTCTCTAACGCTGCGAAAGCCTTGATCAGGAGCGTAAGCAAACCGGTATTTTTACACGCTAGTAATGAAATTTTTTTTACTAATCGGTCCTTTTCGCGATATTTCTCCGTCCATATCCATATTCTTACCAATGATTTTAACTTACACATAAACATAAACTATGATAAATATTACATAGAAATGTGATATAAATAAAAAGCTTGTAAAATTAAGTCAGCTTCTTAAAAAAACAATTTTTTGCTTAAATTTCCTCATTCAGCCTTGCCGCCTCGGGCCTCTGAAAGGCTTACCCTCCGCTTATAATCTAACACTGACATTAGAATATTTTATTAACATGCTATTTGTATTATCATACAAATAAAATAAGATAAAAAGAAGTATGCATTTGCAACGTGGTAGAGCCACGCATCGGTATTTGCTGATGCTGAATTGGACCGGCTCAAACCGGGGAAGTACCACGACCTCACAGAAGATCGGCGTAAACCTTTGCGTTTCGTCCGGTGAGTGAGGTTGCCGGAGGGCCAACCCTCCCCTCCCCCAACATCATAGTAGCGGTATTAAAAACGTACATACCCCAGAGGGGTACTAGCACTCCTAGTTCTGGAGAATCCCCCACTGGGCGTCCGCGCTCGGATAGCCTGGCGCTCAGGCGGGGACAAAATTCCGCTCTCCATTCCCTCTGCTCGAGGCAAACGTAGCAGGCACACTACGGCAACCCCTACAACGCTCTCTGTGGATTTCTGTAATGTTAGGGGACTTCACTCCAACCTCAATGCCGTCCACGACCACCTTGAGACGGCAAAGTCCTTGCTATTCCTAACTGAACCTCAGATATGCTCTCCGGCAGACACATCATATCTCTCATATCCGGGGTATAAATTAGAAAACTCCTTTGTGCCCCGAGCCGGAGTTTGTGTATGTTAGGGAGGATATCTTCTCTCGGTGGCTCAGCAGCCTTGAAGGTATGGACCTGTCCATCATATGGCTACGTGTAGACAGCAACGACCACCCTCGCATCTATGCGTGCCTTTATAGGTCCCATAGCGGCAATACCGAAACAGACCGACTCATCAACCCATCACGTCGAGTGGCACGGGTCACATACTACCGATCACGCGTGGAGGTCTGTACACGACATTTGACACAGCTGGTCACTATGCCTAAACGGATCCCAGATGTGTCATCAAATCTTTCTCCTTCCCTGTTGCACCTTCTGCTGACCACTTATCTGGACCTCTACCAGGTTCTCGTCAGACCACTGTCCTGTTCAGAGCTTAGTGTCCTTCGCGCGCAGTACGCCTACGTGCTGTGTGAGTTTCCGTCGTGTGTGGCATTACAGGTCAGCAGATTGGGATGGGATGCGGTCCTTCTTTGCATCTTATCCCTGGTGCACGGTTTGCTTCTTGCTGGATGATCCCAGTGCCATCGCTGATTCTTTCACCGATGTGATGCTTCAGGGAATGGAACTTTTTATCCCATTCTCTATGGTTCCCATTGGCGGCAGATCCAATCCCTGGTTCTGTCGCTCCTGCAAAGAGGCATCTCGCCATAAGCAGGAGAGTAATCGGGCCTGGACCGTTGCGGTGACGTCTAGGGATGTAAATACCAGTCATCTTAAAAAGGAGTACAACATTGCCTCCAGGTCCTTCAAAAGAGAAATCGCATCAGCAAAGTCAGAGCACATTGGCACAATTGGCGAGAGATTAGTTAATCTTCCTTTGAGGACTCGTGCATTCTCGTTTCTCGCCAAGGCTGACCAAGGAAACTTATACGCCATCTTTTCTTCCTTCTAGGGTACCTAACGCACCGATGGGCGGAGGCAGTTGAGGCAAAGGTTGGACCTTAGCGGTTAGTTTGGATGTAGCGAAAGCCTTCGATCGGGTTTGGCACAGAGCACTTCTCTCTAAGATTACGTCTTAAGGGCTTGCTGAGAAATTGTGCGACTGGATCGCCAGTTTTCTTACTCGTCGGAGCATAAGGCTGCGTTCTGTCCCCTACGTTGTTCCTCCTGCATATCAATGATCTGTTGCTTATTTGTAACATTCATTGCTATGCGGATGACACTACGGATGAAGCATTATATAACAGCCGGGCAAATATATCTCAGGAATACGTCGAAGAGTGCCGGAATAAACTTGTCTGAAGTCGAAGTTTTGTTATGCAAAATCTCGGATTGGGGCCGACTAAATTTTGTCCAATTGAACCCCATGAAGAGACAGAAGAGGAAACACTTCCTCGTATACCTCTCCTTAACCCCCCTCCTTTAAAGGCACTGCCCTTGTTGCTACTGGATTGAATTCTTGGGGTTGATATATCGAGCAGCGTTCAATTTCGCGGTCATTTAGAAGGAAAAGCCAAGCTGGCTTCTAAAAAAACTCGGTATCCTAAACCGAGCGAGACAGTATGTCCTAACGGCACATCGTTTGCAGCTTTATAAAGCATAGATCCGGCCGCACATGGTCGGTTGTCACCTCTGGGCTGGGGCACTGAAATACCAGCTCTTTCTATTTGACCGCATCCAACGAAGAGCTGCTAGAATCATCGATGACCAAATCATGTCCGATCGCCTCGATTCTTTGGCCCTGCAAAGGGATGTTGTATCCCTTTGCATTTCCTATCAAAAATATCGTGGGGAGTGCTCTGAGGAATTGTTTGGGTTGATACCTGCTGGTGAATTTCACCATCGTACAACTCGTCAAACTGCCAAGTACCATCAACACCACACTGTGCGCATTTCGTGAAATTTTCTACCACGCACAACTACTTTGTGGAACGAGGTGTCGCCAGCGGTATTTCCAGACCGATACGACTTTTATCCCGTTTACTCTTTCTTTGTGAAAATACTTTTATAGCAATACTTGAAATGATAACGGCTTAATAAAATAACTTGGGATTAGTAAATGTAAAATGATTAATTGATTTACTATGTTAGGTAATATCGTGAAACTGGTCGCTGAGAGTTTCATCATGTCGCTTTTTGGCTGTCGGTGTGTGCGCACATTTTTTTTCATATTTTTAATTTTTCTCATATTTTTTCCAAACGCGCCATAAGAAGTATAACCTCCAAAATCGAATAATTTTTCAATTCACATACAAAATAAGACGATAATGAATATTATGGCTATTTATGTGGCTAACAGCTAAAGTTAATTCCACCAAAATCCTTCTTATTTTCCCTTTTTTATTAAGTATGTTATGATTTGTCGGTCAAAATAAAGATCCCGCTAAGAAATTTAAAAATTGATATAAAGCACTCGTAAGGCGTACATAAAATAGTTTAATAAGATTGTCAAAATTGTGGAGCGAATTAAAGCTAACAAGTTATGATATTACTTCTTACTATTTAGTCTTGGTCCGTTTGTATTCTCCCTCTGGTAAGAATTTATTGACAGGCCTTTCCAGTTTCACGTGGGTCTCTAATATAGATATCTATTTACTATCCCGGCATTGGAAAAGTCGGAAAAGTTTCAACTAAACAAGTCCACATCCACCGACCTCAAGCCGCTCCATCCGGTGGGTATCAGCCATCTATTACATTAATCCCGTATATTTTCCCGGTGAACGAGTATCGCCGGCTCGTTAAATTTGTTGAGGTTGGAAAGCCTGACATTCTTAGCCAGAGGTCGTAAACCGTGTGATCGCAAGCAAAGTTGAAATCGAGGATATCGATTTCAACTTATATATGGCTTTCTTTTAGTCGAGTAAAATGCTCGGGATTTTTTTCATTATCAACAACTCCTATACATTTGAAACTTTGGTTCTACAATATATAAAGGATTTTGTTTGTATTCCTTGATTGTCTGTTAAGCGTCTCCCGTTGTGTGATATATTTAATAGGGCCTTTGATAGCGTGTAAGTTTAAGACCCCTGCGGCGAGGCGTCACCGTCGCCGTCGCCGATGTCGCCAGGCGGTGGGCTCGTGATCCCCGCCACGTACGCGTGGAAACTGTGCCAAGGCGCTCCTCTCTCAGTAAAAGTACTTTCTTCCAGCCGCTTTCGGAAACTCGCCTAGAACGAATTTCCTCGCTACAGTAACCTTGTGCGGCGTGACATAAGGCTTTCGCCCGCGCCTCTCGTGTAATTGGACCCTAGTAGACCGCTTTCAATAATCGTAAGCCTTTCCTCATTCCTCATTATTTTATTCTTAACTTGCTTTATAATATTATTTATTTATACTTTATTGTACACCAAAAATAAAAATAAATAAAAAGCAAATTACAAATGAATATACAAGGAAGTACAATAGGCGGTCTTATCGCTCAGAAAGCGATTTCTTCCAGGCAATCATTGCGAAAAGAATATTTGCTAATGAGACATAAAGAAGAGAGCAGAGGGAGGTGTACATGAATCATTTATGTACATCGGATGAAGGCATTTATACATCAATGAGATAGTCAAAGATTTCGGGAAAAATAGGAAAGGAAAAAGGAAAGCATGAGTTCACAGTTCCAAGTAATGAGCTTTTAATAGGTTTTTAAAAGAAAAAAGTCACTTAGCTTGTCGAATGTGAAGGGGCAAAGAATTCCACAGACGCACAGCTGTCACTGTAAAAGATTTTTTGAAAAAGGAATAGGAAGGAGGTACAGGAGTTTATATATAACATGTCTTCATAGTAAGAGTGTGCTACTGCGTTTGTCCTCTATGGCTACATTGCTGCCTACCATCAATTGGAATAGCATTATAAGGCAGTACCTTATAGAAAGGCATGAGGATGGAATAAACGGTAGTGAGTGTATGGAG